ACCAATTCCTCTCTTTTTCTCTCTGTTCTTTCTCTCATTCATAACAATAGATTTATTTTTCTTCTTAAATGGTTTTTTCTTTTCTTCTTATTTTTTCTTTTCTTTTCCTCTATTTTGTAATTGTGAATTTGAGGAATTGTGAATTTGAGTTAATCTTTTGTGGAATTGTGAAATTGAGTTAGGTAGTAGTAGTACAGTGGTTATACGACTTGATCATTTTACCCACTAAACCACATTTGTAATTGAGAATCGGTACAAGCGCTTTCAACGTTGATGAATACAACAAATCAGGGAGAAAAAATGGATTCCGAATTTAACACTGTTACGGACCGCAAAAGCTCCAACGAGCAAACAATGCCTATGAAATGAGAAAGCAAGGTGTTTGGCGATGAATGCACAAAGTCGCATTTAAGTGAAACAGTGAACACAAATTCCTCTCAGTTCAGCTGATAAAAGTCACTATTTAGATCCCTAATCTTGGTCGAGGCCGGTCATCTCCTTAACCCTGGACGACTCCGCTCGCTCTAAGCTGGTCGCACACCAAGCCCTCCACGCTGTTTCTAGCATCGGATTCTGCTCGGCAAGGATATCGAACAGAGCATTGAAGTCCCGCTTCTTCTCGGTCAACTCCTGATTATTGGACGCCTTTGCCTCCTCTGAGTCAGTTGCACGTCGAACCCTCAACGCTGATGCTACCATCGGGTTGTGATCAACAATGGTATCAAATAGAGCGTTGTAGTCCCGTTGCCTCTTCTCAAATAGAGCATCAGAGTCCCGTTGCCTCTTCTCAAATAGAGCATCAGAGTCCCGTTGCTTCTCCTTAAGATCCGCAATTGTGGCATTAAGAGCATCTAGCTGCTGCTGATAGTAGTCCTCAGACATCTCTTCCGTTGGAGGAAGAGGTGCTAGGGAAGAATCTCCATGCATGATGAAGATCATATCGTAGATATGCTTGTTATTGCGGGGAGAGAACTGCAGAAAACAATAAAAGACATGGTTAGTTAATTCAAAACCTTAATGATTTTATGTAACTGAAAAACAGTAATGGAATATACCTGAGAGGAGATCTCATCCATCTGAGTCTGAGACAAACTGCCAGGTTGTACCAAACCGCCCTTTGAGAATCGCTGCGACTGTAGCACGACCTCTGTCGTGACCTCCTCGTGGACTTTATTTGCGACAATTTTATAAATTCTCGGTACTTCAAAGGTTGTAGGATCGTGCTCTTCGGCATGGGCATACACCTCCATCTCCTCCAAAGATGGGAAAGACTCCAAGAAATGCCTTATCATCTCTTTCTCTCTAACTGTTCCTCGAAACCCTTTGATCCGCAACTTCTTCACTGGACAAGATAAGAGTGAACGACCTTTGTCCTCCCGAGAAATGCAGTCACAAGCATCCCCGCATTTATCAGTCACATAGTGTAAGAGACCCTGAAAGAGGAAACGAGTCAATAAGAGACTTCTAACTGTAAACTGCATCTTTGTAAATGTTTGAACAAATGAGTTATGTTTATACCTCGAGGACTAGAGTTTCTAAATGAGGACAGTTCCTTAAGAGAACTGGCATTGCTTGCCATCCCCGATTCTCAGAACTCCTCAGACGTAAAAATTTGAGGTTGCTGAACACCGGCATTGATTCACAGCATAGAGAAAGTACCTGAAACAAGACAAGGCCCAACTCAACATTAGCGACTTAGCATAAGAAATATATACTCTGACTAACATGAACTTCTCATGTTTCAGAAACTGACCTCGAGAGTATCTGCAGAAAAGAATAGTCTCTGAACATTTCTTATGCCACTCATGAGCTTCGACACATTTCTAAGATACGGAAAACCATAATCTTCATCATTTGGCCCTCGTATTAGCTGGATTTGATTTTCAGTCACCTTAAGATCGAGTAGAGCCTCAACTAAACTTGTCAAGATAACTTTCAGATAATCTGCTGCAACAAAATCAGCGTACTCAAGGTAAATCAGATTCGGAGTATCGAAAGATATGCTCATTGGATTTCGAAAGTCTTGAAAACCACTGGCGTAGATAATTAGCTTCCTAAGGCTTCCACTCGACACAGTTTCATCCGAATCCGGCCACTCAATACCAGCCATGGAGAATTCCTCAAGCACAGGGAAAGCAACAAGAAACATATCGACATCATCGCACAACAAAACCCATTCCGAGTCAATGTTGAGAGTTTTAAGCATTGGTAAGCAAGTGCCACTAGCTCCACGCCACCAATCAACACCAAATTCACTTCTTAATTTCAGCTTAACTAGTGTCCTACTTACGAACATTTCACTAGGCAGAAAATACATATAATCGGGATCGAGATCGTCATCTTCTCTAGGAAAATCAAGGGAGAGCTCGAGTTCCGAAACACCACGCTCAAGCACGTTACATATCCAAAGATTCACACGATCTGGATCAATACCAGTTTTACACTTGAGAGAGAATTTCTTAATGGGAGAATCACCTTGCAAATCCAAAAGCCTATCCACAAAATCCATGAAGCTCTGAAGAATTCCGCCTCTTTCTCGCTTACCTTCTTGCGGATGAAGAAAGACAGAGTCATCAATGTCGATGTTTGGGACAAGTGCCCACAAATTGAGCCACTTCTTTGAGAGAATCGATGTTATAGCAGCCTCCTTTGTCGTAAGGAAAGAAAATATATGGCAAAGAACTTCGTCAGGTAAAATTCCGATCGAATCCATCGTCTCTGTAAGGAATACAAATTCGAGAAATCAACAATTACCCTAAAAAAAGGAAACCCAAAAGAGAAGATAGTGAATTTACTTCAGACGCGAAGTACCAATTGAGAATCACACTGGTACTGTACAGACGCGAGGTCCAACGCTATGAAAGATTTGGCTTTTAAGAAGAGAAGATCTGTAGACATGCAAATGCATCGGAAGGAAACGAAGCGTCTAGTAAGAGCACGAGAACAATTAGAAAAATTAGGGATGGTTGGTTTTGTACTGGCCTCAATTGTCTTGGTTTGGACCGGTTATCAAACCGAATAAGCCCAAACCAGAATCTCAGAATACAACAAGTAGGCAAATATAAAGATGGAGCTAATTTCATCTCATTTCTTTTTTTTTTGTATTCGGTGTCAAATTTCAACTCTTTTTGTTGTAGCTTCATGTCAGTAACATAAACCAAGTTATTCATTCATGTAAAACGGTATCAGTTGTCTACGTTATTGATAATTTATCCGACAAATCACATTTGTAATTCAGCAATGTTAACTACTAATAAAGCCGTTGAGTCCACAACGTTTGGTTCTCAAATATAAAAGGAACAAGCCTCGGCTTTCAACGTTTACGAATACAACAAGTGAGGCCAAAAAAGGCAGAAACTCATGCAATCTTCGGAACTACGGCGGATTCCGAGCTGGAGCTGGGCAGTGTCACGGACCGCAACAGCTCTAACGAGCAAACAAGACCTAGGAAATGAGAGAGTAAGGTGTTCGCCGATGCCTGCACAAAGTGGCTCTCAAGTCAAACGGTGAACTTAAAAGAGCAATATTAATAAGAAGACAACATTTATGGTAAAGATTGTTCTTCAATACCTGAACGAGGAATACATCAAGAGCAAGAACGGGGCTGTATCCCTGAGAGACTCCCTGGTAGAAAGGGTTTGCTGAGGTTGTTAAAGCCTTTGCAACTAAAAATCCAACCGTTGCTTGCATCCCGAGGATTGCTGCCCCCATTCCCAGAAGATTTACCATAATCCCGCTTCTCAAACCTTTCACAACATCAGCACGAGGCGGGGCCTGAAACAATATCCATTTATTAAACCAGTTTTGGCTCTACAGACAACAAACGATGAGAGTTAAAGGACCCAAGGAGACATGGCCGGATCATATAAAGACTTAAACATGACTGGATGGCTCTTTTGTTCTCTCCCATCATTTCCAAAGGTTCAACAGCTAC